GGGGAGGGGGATATGAAAGGCAGCCATGAAGTGAAATGTGAGGGCCCTTTAAAAGTTACAAGCAGATTTTCCACCCCCTGCCCCCAATCTGCTCCTCACCGTGTGCAGGGAGACTCTTGGCTTTGCCTTCAGGTGCTCTGTTCATCTGGACATCTGTCCTCGTTGGCTTTGCTTCTCCTTTGGAGACACTGAGGACTGTCTGGGATTCTGTCACATGGAAATCTGTCAGGCCAAACAGGGCTGGATAAGTACTCTCCTCAAAACATTGAAAATGTAGTATCAACCACAAAAGCAAACCAAGCTCTCAAGGTGCACAATGACCAAGTACATAAATGGATCTTCTCCTAAGCTGGTTGAATGGCTGGGGATTCAATGATGGAGCAATTAAGTAATAAAATAATATAAGGACGGTCTGTCTTTACCCCACAGACTCATGGAGATGATTCAGCTGTAACAATTCATAATATTCTTAAAAGAGGGAAGGAAACAGTATGTTTCTCTCTTTCAGTCAACCTAGTATTATGTCAATTTATGAGACATTTATTAAATATGCATAAATGGAAATGGAATTTTACCACATAGGCACATCCGTGTGCTGGAACTTTCCCCAGATTCCCTTTCCAGTTGTTAACTAGGAAGACAACGGGTGTTTTGTGGTTGGTTTTGTTTTGTGTTTTTAAGGGGTGGGATGAAGATGTTTTGTGGAGAATGAAAAGTTAGTCAAGATACAGAATGTTCCAGACCTCTGGAGTTCTCGGACTCGGGCGTCTGCGAGCCGGAGCTGCTGTAGCCTCCCAGGTCTTGCCTCCTTTGTTGAACCACTCCATCCAGATCTGAGAACTCGTCGTTGAAATCCTGCAGGGAAGCAAAGACATGGAGAGAGGCCATTTCCCCTATGAAGAAGGCAGGCCTTTGCAGGCCCCAGCCTTTTTCCTTAGGCCTGACCTATAAAATAAGGAAAGGAAGGAAGGATTTCCCCAAACTACTGGGATTTTGCCTACAGATCACTGGGTATCTGCTTCCTGAAACCGAGATTCTTCCGGGCAGTTAGAATTCTATCGACAACAGTGGCCAACTTGCTTGAAACAACAAAGGTCTAGAAAAACACTGGAATGCTGATGACTGAAAAGCTGCAGAAGCTGCACTTAGCACTTTATGATGAGAAAGTGACTGAAATAGACATATATAAAAGAAAAATGTAGATAGAAAGATCTAAATGCATGTTTGAATATGCAGATACAGAGAAAGGTATTCTTCAATTATAGTTTTTTAAAAAAGGTGTTGGATAATGATCAACATAATTTGATGAACAAGAATAGATTGATCTAGAGACAAATGGTAGGGGAGGGGGGTTAGAGAGCAACCAAAGGACTTGTATGCACGCATATTAGCATAACCAATGCACACAGACACTAGGGCGGTGGGGGCTTGCCCAGGGTGGGGGTGGAAAAAAAAAGGTATTGGAAACAGGCAAGGGCAAATGGCTTTAACAAATTAGACCCTGAAAGGAAAACTTTAGTGTTTTTTTTTCCCCTTCACTAAATCAAAACAGGGTCAGCAATATTACATGTAAATCACAGAAGCGTGATAAGGGAGTGAGAAGTAGGGGAAACGTGGAGTCCCAGCCATTCCCCCCACGTGCTTCGGAACCAAAGATCAGGCTGTCACTGAAACATGCTGGGAAGGCACCGTGGGCTGAGCACTCTACAGTCTAGTCAGCTGTCGAATGAAGAAGAGACTCGTCTTGTAAGCAAGTTGCCAACCTTCTACCTTCAACTGGAAGGTTGTCTTTGGGTCATTTCAATGTCGTGCAAGATTTTTATAGGGAACGAAAATGGAAAAAATTCAAGTCTCTTGAACGTAATGACTATGTATTGAATGCCTGTCATGTATGAGGCAGTAGGCAAAGCCCCTTACACAGAGGATTTTGCACTTAACCTTCACAGCCACTTTGTGGGGTTGGCATTGTGCTAGATGAGGAAACTGAGGAGAGCAGTTACAGAGCCCGTCTGATGGCATAGCTCAGTGGGGTGGAACCAGATTTCAAACCAGACTTGTTGGATTCTAAGTCATATGCACTTAATTCTATTTTGTACTATTTTTTAAAAGTTTTAGAAAAGGTTTTATAGATTTTTTTTAAAAAAATGAGATAAAAATTCACAACATAAAATTCACCATTTTAAGTGTGCTATTTAGTCGTTTTTAGAAAATTCACAATGTTGTGCAACCATCACCACTATCGTATTTCAGAACATTATTATCACCCTGCCAAAAAGAAACCTTTACCCGTTCCCAGTCACTCCCAATTTTCCCTCTCCCTCATTCTTTGGCAGACGCTGATCTAGTTTCCATCCATATGGATTTGCCTATTTGGAACATTTTGTAAAAATGGAATTATACAATATTGTGGCCTTTTGTGTCTGACTTTTTTCACCTGGCATGTTTTCAAGGATCATCCACGTTGCAGTGTGTAACAGTAATTCATCATTACTTTTTAGGAAAAGAATATTCCATTGTGTGGATAGATGACTTTTTGTTTATCCATTCATCAATCAGTGGGCATTAAGTTTGTTTCCACTTTTTTGCTATTATGAATAACTAGAGGTCTGGTGATGGATTTGTGCACTGGTGGGGTCCCTCGATCTGGCCTGTGGGGACTGGGCCGAAAACAGCTCTCTGACAACTCCTGAAGGGTCCAGGATTGCGAGAGGATGGTTCTCAGGTGACACACCCGGAACCGGGCTCCCTGCTCTCTGGGTCTGGGATGCGGGTGAAGCAGATTTGGGGCTAACAGTGCCCCAGCAGTGACCTAACCCACGGCCGATTCCACGAGGAATCAGGCTCCCTCCTCTACTGGTTGAAGTGTCTGCCCCCTGGTGGTCATTGAGCATCATAGCTACCAGGCAAACAGACGAATGGTTGGATGGGCACTTAGGCTTTTATATATATAGATAGTTATGATCATTCTTGTTCAGGTTTTTGTGTGAATATATTTTCAATCTTACTACTTTTTGAATAGCTCTCAAAAAACAAGATTTGTAGATCTTGAAACCATGGGCTCATACCACTTCACCAAAGGTATTTCAACATTTAACAATAATCAATTTAGGAATAATCAATTGAATCATATGGCTAGGACTCTCCTGGGCCAGCTTACACCATCACAGGTCTACATCGTGTACAAATGGGGGCACTTACTCCCCACAGGAGGTTTAGTTGGTAGTCAACAAAGTCTAAAGGAACCAAATAATCTCTACCGTTCACTTGGGCATTATAGCTTTCTATATATATATAAAATTTATATTTATATATTGATTAATTTCAGAGAGGAAGGAGAGAAAGAGAGAGATAGAAACATCAATGATGAGAGGGTATCACTGATTGGCTGCCTCCTGCATACCCCTAACTGGGGATCAAGCCCGCAACCCCAGCATGTGCCCTTGACCAGAATCGCACCCGGGACCCTTCAGTCCACAGGCCTGTGCTCTATCCACTGAGGCAAACTGACTAGGGCTATTGCTTTATTTTTTTAGTTATTTCTAGGTATTGCTCATCTTCTCTATTAAGCTGGCTGTCAAGTCTTTGAAGGCAAGAACTAGGCTAGATTTTTCCTGATGTCCTTAAAGCATGTCCTAGCATGGAACCTTCAGCACAGAAGACATCCAACTGTTTGTGGGATGAATCATGCCCCACCCCAAGTAGATTGGTGAATCCTTCTAAAATAACACTGACAAGCAAACGAGCAAGACTTTATGAATATCTCTGGTGACCAGTCATCCCAAGGCAGCCCACTACCGGGTTTCTTCCTTTGCAGGACAACCCTTCAATTCCTTGAAAAAAATTTATGACCCCCTATGGTCATCCTCTTCTTCAGGACACAGATCCCTGTTTCTTCGTCTTGTCTTAACTATTACGGCCCTAAGTTCCTCCTGCACCCTGGTCATGGCGGAAGGAGACCCGTAGTTGCATCACATATTCCCTTTCTTTTGCATTTAGACATTAGGTAGGCAACTCACCAGAGGCAGAGATGAAGGGCGGTCTGTCCGGAAGCGGTCTGCCCGGAAACTGTTTTCAAGAGAAGACGGGTTGGGACTGTTACCAACACTTGTATTCTGCAGTGATTGAAACAAAATGAAACACCAGGTTAACTACGGGACTGTAAGAAGCACGGAAGACAGATGAGTCACTGGGGCTCGACAATGTACTCACATCTAAGTGTCCACACACGGATTTGAGTAGTTTGTAAGTGGAATCTCTGGAGAGGAGGGAGACAAATATGTACTGAAAACAAAACAGAGTAATTAATAACAGACACTGCCTGATGAGAAGGGAGTATTCAGAGTTCAAACATTTCTTTGTATATCTTTTTTTTTCACTTTAAATGATACAGACCATTCTCTGGTCCATATCCTCATCCTGCTCACCCACACATTCAGTTCTTATTCTACTCCCGCACTAAAGGAAATATACTCCCCAACGATAGCAACAAAACCCTCAAACTCAATTGAAGTAATGGACAAACATAGAGAAAAATGAAGGCTCTAATACCCTGAGAAAGGCGCCCCAAATCTGCACCAGTAGGAAAGATCTGGGCATTAAGACAAGGCTGGTGATATTTACTAAACCCTCTCCACCTCCTTTTTTTTTGTTTTTTTGTTTGCTTGTTTAGGCATCTAGCAATTCCTGAGGGTCTGCTTTTTCTGTGCTGACCTCGCTTTCCACTGAAAATTTCCCAGGGGCTCTAATAGGCTCGTTCTTTTTCAAGCCACTTCCAGATCCTTCCTTGTACAAATATGGAGATTTCTGCAGAGGGTACTTATAAGTGAGTATGGAAAAGAAGTAAAATCAGAGCCAGACAAGTAATTTGGAGACCAATGACATAAGGAAAAATGATTTTACCCTAAACAGTATGTTGAGAAAAATATTAAAACTCACTCTTTCTCCATGTATTTGAGCCATAGAATCTTTCCAGGCTCACTTTCCAAATTTTGTGATTACCCCTCTTATTCAATTCACCCATTAAAGAAACTGATACAATTTCCAATATGATCTATATATATAAAAGCCTAAGCAACTGGCCGACTGGCCGGTAGATATGACACGCACTGACCATCAGGGGGCAGAGCTCAACGCAGAAGCTGCTGAGCGACAGCAACTTTGCAGAGTGCCCTCTCACACTCTGGGACCCCTGGGGGATGTCGGACTGCTGGTTTCGGCCTGATCCCCGCAGGCCAGGCTGAGGGACCCCACCTGCTGGAGGGACCCCACTCACTCCGCAGATGCCCTTTGAGCCCCAGTGCTGCTCCAGGTGCAGCCAGCCAGGGAGGGACAATGGGAGGTTGGCTCCTGGGCATGTCTGGCCCGTCTCGCCCAATCCCGCCCCACCAGCCACCTTCTAATTAATTTCCTTTCATGTGCACAAATCCATGCACCAGGCCTCTAGTGTAATATAATACAGTATTATATCCCAAGGTAGTTAACATTATAGGTTCTGGCATTAGACAGACCCAGTTGTAAATTTTGGCTCTGACACGGAGTAGGCGACATTGGGCAAATGGCTTACTTAGGCCCTCTTAGCTTCAGTTTTCTTAACAATATCTACCCCCAAAAGGGTGGTAGGGTAGAATAAATGGGAAAACATAAGGAAAGTATTTAGCATATGCTTGGCAAGAAGTACTTGATGCTTAATTGCCATTAGTTTATCTAAATATTTTTTCAAAAATAGGTATTAACATATTTTCTAGTTCATCTTTCCCTCTTCAACTATCCAGTATGGTTACAAATGGAATGTGGCTTTTGTGCTTTCATAGAAATAGTAGGCAAAATATTAAAAAATAATTTCAAGTGAAATATGGGTAACCAAAATATTCCACTCCCTATCTCTACCCAAGCTGAAATAAACACCTCTCAGTGAAAATACTTCTGGTTGCACATGACTGTGGCATCACAACAGTCAACAACAGCTTGAGAATTCCCGTACAGAAGTGGGATAGAGCCCAGCCCGTGGGGCTCAGTGGTTGAGCACTGACCTATGAAACGGGAGGCACCTGGCGGACTCGAGACCCAGTAGGGGATGTGCAGGAGGCAGCTGATCAATGATTCTGTCTCATTGGTGTGTCTATCTCTCTCTCTCTCTCTCTCTCTCTCTCTCACTTCCTCTCTGAAATCAATAAAAGTATCCTATATAATAAAAGGCTAATATGCAAATAGAGTGAATGGCAGAATGACAGGTCACTATGACGTGCACTGACCACTAGGGGGCAGACGCTCAATACAGGAGCTGCCTCCTGGTGGTCAGTGTGCTCCCACAAGGGGAGCGCCGCTCAGCTAGAAGCTGGGCTCACGGCTGGGGAGTGCAGCAGTGCTGGTGGGAGCCTCTTGGGAGCTGCTTGGGGGATGTCCACCTGCCAACTTAGGACTGCTCCCTAAGGGGTCAGGAGGGCGCAGGCCGGGAGGAGGGACCCCTAATTCTCAAGTGCACAAATGTCGTGCACCGGGCCTCTAGTATTTAATAAAAAAAGTGGCATAGGTAAGGCAACCTGGAAGCCAAGAGGGGCCAGGAACTGGTCTGAATTTGGGCGCACATAACAAGCACACGTTTTAGGTATTTGGGATGCCTTTGGAGAGGTCCCATCTGAGGTTATGGGGCGGCTGGCCACCCCCACTGCAGGGACTCCTCAGTGTCACCCACCCTACCCTGTCAACAAGATGGGGATGGTTGTTGTTTTAAATCATGCTAAAGACACCGAATATCAACTTAGCCTGACCTAACAGATATTAGGGAAAGGGAAGTTCGGAACAAATTTTATTTTTTTGACCTCGGTCAAGCAAATATAAATAAGTCAGCGGGAAATTAAAAATTGGCAACAATGATATTAGAAGAAATCATCTTGTGAGGGGAAACAACACTACAGGCTAGGATTTTACAAATCAGTCTTACGTATACTTGGTGATTCCCTGTGGGAGATAATGATATTTATGGTCCAGGGCCTTGGTCTCGGCAGGAGGGAAGGGAGAGTGGAGCAGGATGGAGCAAGATGCCCTGCTCTGGGGCATACTCACCTTGTCTGTGACCGTCGCTATAATCAGGGCATTTGGCACCAGAAGCGCAGTTTTGGTTTTCTTTATCAGGGTTACGGAGAAAGCCGGAATAGAGATCTGAAACAGAAGCCCTGCATTAACACACTGGTGAAGACTTCACAGAACAACACTTCAAGTTTTCCTGTTAAAGGAGAAAACAGACCGATAACAAATCGGCAGCAGGCTCCCTGGGACCCATGGAAAATCCATCTTAGAGTGGCCTGGCTGTGTCCCTGAGCTCCTTAAGCTGTTGTTAATGCACAGCCAGGGGATAAATCGGGATCATCAGTCCCGCTGAACAGCTTCCTGGGAAACCTTTATCTTTAGACTTGGGACTAGAATGCAAAATTTACATGCATGCTAAAGATAAGCTCTAAAGGTTGCTTTTGCAGGCTAATCTCCCATACCCCCCTCTCCTCTGTCTCAGGCACATGTGGGTGGGTAAAATGTTGAAAAGCACTGGTGTAATAGAACCATTACTGGACAGAAAGTCTGGAACTTGAATTCTCAGCTCGGTTCTGTTACTGTCTATATGACCTCCTCTACCTGATGAGTTATCCTTTCTAGGCCTCAGTTTCCTGATCTGTAAAATGGGGTTAGTTTTATCTACTTCCCAGGATGTTCTGTGGATTAAGTGAGATAATGTATGGAAAATGCCTAGCACTCAATGACCCTGTTCTTCATTTCCTCATTTGCCTCATGTAAAGAGGATGGGTGAAGCAGAAGAACTCTAATTTCTTTTCTGGTTCAAACAATAAAGAATAACAATGACAACTGTAGCAGCTACTATTCATACCTATTTACAGGTGATAATGCCACTTAGTTATGACCTTCCTGTAAAGTAGATATTCTAAGAGATAAGGACATTTGTGTAGTGAGGCATATGACTTGCTTAATCATAAATATAGTAAGTTACAAAGACAGAATCCGAACAAATCTTATCCTAAGTGTAGTTCTTTTTCCGTACAATATACTACAAGAATGTATCAGATGCCACAAAGAATAGTCGATGCTCCTGATACTTATATGTTATAGCTGCATCCCTTCAACCCACTTTGGTTTTCAGGGATCACATCACTTTGATCTCTGAAAACAGAGTTACACACACACCCACGGTAAAAAGAATATGACCTGAACCTCTCTCTAGGTGCACCCACTCACTTGAACATGTATTTTGCAAAAATGCTTTATATATTCTGAAAGAAATCGAGGTCAGTGGGGAAAAGGAGGTCCTTCAGTTAATGCTGGCAATTTAAAGGAAGGAAAAAAAAATATGCTTTTTATGTTGACTATTTGCATTCACACTTAGGTGGAATTGTTCTACTGTCACTCCAGCTGTAGGTTGAGATGACTTTGGAAAAAAGATGTCAAGATCTACTCAGACAGATGGCGATGTAAAAATGCTTCTCATTTTGTTTCTGAGCAGTGTTGAGGGGCTATAACTTAGGATTTCTTTTCATAATCTAAGGCACGGAACCTCCTGAAGAAGGAGTTTTCAGTCAGTGGCTTCACGAGTATAAAATGACAACTAGATCACACGTGAGAGAGAAAGTGGAAATAATAACCTTTAGGGTGAGCCTAGGTAGATTGTGATGCACACATTTAATTTTATAAGCATCTGAAAATACCAGTGGGCTAAAAGGCCCTGATTAAATTAACACTACACTTTATTAGTCTTTTTTTTCCAGGGTAGGGTGTTCAGAAAAGTCCTCTTCCTAGAGAAAATCGTGGTTGCCTTGAGTTCACATTGGATGGTGCTGGGCCCAGGCCTGCTGGCAGGGAGGAAGTTCCATCACGGAGCTGAGGCCCCTTGAGCCATCCTTCCAGGGGAAGAAATGTACACGTCACTGTCCCGGTCCTGTGTCCCCTCTCTGCTCGTTTTCAATCTCCTGTCTCTTGGATACAGCACATGCAAAAGCAACCCCGGTGTGGCAAGCCTTTAAACACAGGGTCACTCCTTTTACCTTTTTTGGGTCAGTTTTCTCGTAAATGGCAGTAGGATTTTGAAACCATTGGCAGATTCGTATGCGTGTGAAACTGCACGTGCTGGCTTTGTGCATTCCTCTATCCTTAAAGGAAGATTAAGACTTTCCTCACTAATGTCTTCACACCCTGCTGCTCCAGTGAGTTGCTGGCTCTCCCTGAACTCCTGACAGCATCTTTACCCCCTCGAACTGGATGGCGCTCAACCCCCACCCCCCGTCCCCACTCCATGATCAAGGTCTTAGAATCCAGAAATCTTAGAAATAGGGTGGAATACTGCTTAATATCACTTTGCATTATAGTGATTCAGATAATAACTGTGCATCTAAAACAACTCTATATAGTAAAGGAACAATATAAAAATAGCATTCGACATAGCATGCTAGTTTGCTGACTCAACACCAACAAAATAAAGAATTTCCATTTTATTTGATACGTGGTCTTTAGCTAGAAGACTGCCCATGGCTGCAGGGAGAAGACTTAAATTAAACATACCTACCACTTAAAGAGAATTTTTAATCAGCTACTTCATGAATAGAAAGGCTGCTTACTCATGATCACAAATCAGAATGCTTGAAACCTCGCTGCGGTCACGCACCCCCAACACGGTGTGCCTCTGACTCCTTATTGGGGCGGCCTGGATGTGACAGCACAGCTCAAAGGGCAAGAATGTCAGAGGCATGGAATTCTCTTCCCTTCTGATGCCACAGTCCCAAGGGCCTTGTTTTAGAAGGCGGTGGCTTGGGAAGCCGCCAACTCCTTCAGGCTGTTCTCCTTAGCGGCTCAGTGTGTCACGGGCGTCTGTTTCTCCAGCTCTGTACTTAATGGGGATGCCAAGGTGTCAGTCAGCACCCACTGGGGATTGTGGGTATATGACTCTCAGACTCCGTCCTAATGCTGCAGTTCCTGCTCCTCCTGGGCTGGCAGCAGCACACAGTGAACTCTGTAAGCAGCTTTTTCTAGATGGTTAACTGGTATGAATACAGAACAAAATCGGGATTTCTTTTAACAAATTGTTTTAGTTTAATGTACATCCTTAAAACTGATGGTGGAACACTTTTCATAGGAATAACGCGTTCTCTGGTGACACTGGCCGGGTAAGAAGGATTGAGGGCAAGATTGTGGGAGAGAGGGAGGTGTTGGCATTAAGAACCTGTCACTCAGAACCTGTCCCCTTTGGAACCAACATTAAGGGTATAATAATGACACAATACTTACAAATATTGCTACACTGAAAGCAATTACTATCCACAGGGTTAGCTTCCTTTCTGAAAAATGATACAAACCTTAGTATCTTTTCCAAAGACCTTGGAATAAAAGCAAATCCAGTTTTCTGACACAAAGAGCTTCCCTTGGTATAAAATTTCTTTCTGCAGAGCACAGGTAAAGCCTGAGAAAATACACACGTATTACATCACTTGGAATTTACATTCAGAACAAGAATTCTGTACAGATGCTGGTGACTCCGGGATGGGCAGAGACAACCCACTCCCATGCTCACAACATCTGTCATCCCCTTTCAGTCATCCTCACTGGAGTAAAAGTACAGAGATGAGGGTTTGTTTTTTTTCATTCAAAGTTTTACACATTTTAGCATGAAAATCAAACCAGAAAGGCAGATCTATCACTGCCAATGAGGTTCAGGAATGGTGTTTCAGGAATCTCCTCTAAGTAGGAAGGTGTGTCCCTTTGTGCTAACCTCAGCGCTCCTGCCCTGCTTCCCTGGGACTGTCACTAGTGACGCCCTTTGAAATAGATGGTCCAACTGCTGGTACAGCATGTGACCCACGCCTTCCTGCTTGGGTATCATGGCTGGAACCAGCATCTCGCCCTAGCACTGTACACGGAGGGGCTGAAATGGAGCCCTGGGCCCTGGTGAACCCCTACGGCGAGCAGGTGCTTAGCTGGCATGCTGGGCAGGGTGTTTAGGCGTGACTATTGCGCCCTGCACAATGCAGGTGTCAGCACATGTCTGTCCACCCAGATCTGTGTGTCTTTTTAGCCTTATTTTAGTGGCCTGTCTTGCTCCAGGCTTGTTATCCTAAATCTCAGAACAATCCAAACACAATGCATTTCAGCAGTAGGTATGGAAGGCGAGGACCTCATTCTGGAATCATCTTGGATCGGCTCCGTATCAAGTAGGGAGACTCAGGTTCCCATTCTACTCGTCTTTCAAGAGCCTCGGTGAGAGCTGAATGAAGCTGGTGTTGCGGCTACCTCGTGACTTTCAGAAACCACCCCTTGGTGATTCAGTCCCCAGCCCTCTTCCTCCCCTAAACCAATGAGCATCTTTTCAACTATGGAGCTTAAAAAGCCAAACGGGACAGAACTTACTTTGCCTCAGTGGTTCTTCAGTCGGGACATCAAGAAACAGCTTGTGGAAGTGCAGATTTGCCTTGTACTACAGTGGGAACAAAACAGACATGGCCACTCTCAGTTTTTTGTGGAACATCACACATTTTAACTCCAATTTAAATGACACAATACACGTTCCCTCCCTTATTTCAGCATCTTCATGAATTCCATCTCTCTGATCTTACAGTCTCCAACACAACCCTTCAGTGGAATGCAGGGCACGAAGGGTTCCTCTGCCAACAAGATCACTGCCCTGCTGGTTGCGTGTACAGTATAACTATGATGCAGCGGGTGTTGGATAAGGGTGTCCCATGTAAGAAATGAGAGGGATGCTAAGGAATCTCACCAGGGCACTAGGGCTACAGGTGAGTAGTCTATTAAAAACTCTGTAGTCACATCGACCTGAGTTCAAGTTTTGGCCACACTTCTTTGGTTTGTGATTGGGGTCTAGTCACTTAGCCTCTCTGGGCCTCAGCTTCCTCTTCTGTGCCAGAGGTCAAAAACGACTTGCCTCCATGGGATGCCCTAAGGATCAAATGGGACAAAACGGCTAAGGACCTACTACCTGGGATTGTCACAACACTGTTATTGTGAAGGCGGTTCCTTAGCCAGTGTCCCAGGGAGATGACCGTCAAGACCGGTAGGGTTTCTGTCTAGGGAGGTAGAAAGCCCAAGAGTCTGAAATGTTGAAAACCTCTCCATTTTCAAGGAATCTATTTCTACAACTCTGACAAAAATGTACAGACCAAATTTCACACTTGGCAAAATGCTTTCACAAACCACCCAGGATCGCCATTGCCTGGGTCAGGACACTGTGCCTCAGAGACACTGGGTTACCTGGAACCCCAGCTCTCAGACGTAGAGCTGGGTCCTCCTTCCAAGCACCCCTCTGCCTGACAGATGCTTTTGATGGAAAACTCTTAGGAGCAAAACAGATCCTGGATGTCCTATTATCCAAACCAGGTGTGATCCCAATGGCAAAAGTGGCCCTAGTACTGCTGTCAAGAAGAGCTTCAGACAGGCCGTGCAGATGACGGACGGCCCCCACAAGTTACTGTTTTATAGATAAACACCTCATATAGAAGGTTACCTCACGTCGCCTCCTAGGAATACACCTGCATCCAGGAAGTTACCTGATTAAAGCCAGGTGTGCAAGGGGGCTTTACTGAGATGTTTTTAGTGGCTACAGTGAGCACCACTTGATTTAAAAATATCCCGGGCCATGGACTCTTCAAACATAACATTGTTATAAGAGATTTTAAAAAAAGAGTAGTGGGACTGATAGAAATGAAAAGCAATACCTGGCTCTTGAGCGGATGTTTGAGAGGGGAAACAGAAAAGCCTTAGAAAAGGTGTTCACTACTGGGATGATTGTGGACATTTGAAAAAAATGGATTCACATTAATAATATATTTTGTGCACTTATTTAGTTCAATTTCTTGGGTGTGCCAACAGTGTTTTGTAATAGTTCTTAGGAGACACATATTCAAGTATTTAGGGATGAATTATCAAAAAATCCCACTGTTGGCCTAGTAAGTCCGTCACACGCTACGGCGCAGAACTGGGCTTCGATGCTTCGATATACTAGTATTTTAGAGCAGAAGCAAGTAATGCCGCTGTCCGCAGGTCTTCCTCTGTGTGCAGCTGGGTGGCCTCTGTCCCCATACTCCTTCATTTCAATGCAAGGATGTCACACCTCTCCCAGTCTTGGCCAATTATGAGACAAGCATGGGACTCGGTGCCGATCCCTGCTGGGGGTGCCTGTGGGCACCTGTCAGAGTTAGGGGCACAGTCTGGGGCTCAGTCCCACTCAGTATGTGTGGAAAGGTCAGCTGTAAATTATGATAGTGATGAAAAATCAATGGAAGGATCTATGATCCGCCCTTTCTCCTGGATCCTCTACAACCAACGCCCATGTAGTCCTGCCCAGCGGGAAGCTGCCTGCGTGGGCTCCTCCTTCCCATTGGCGACACGCTCTGTCGCCCTGGAGATAACACATGTCCCACACCCGCTTACCTGGCTGGAAGACGAAGACTTTTTCCTCTCAATCTTAGAGTCATTTTTGCTTTCTGTTTTGCAATCGTTCTTATCACTCCCTAAAGAGACACCATCGAAACTGGATTTTGACCTGAGGAAAGAAAACCCAGGGCGACTATAGGATGAATTTTTTATGCTGCTCATTCATTTCATTGTAATACATCTTGATTATTATCCCATCTCACAAGAAGACCTGCCGCTCGCCCTGCCCTTCTGGATGCCAGCAACCACGTGCCACCCTCTCAGGGGTTTACAGAGCCGATGCTGCAGGGCTGGGATGGCTTCAGCAGACTGGAATCTCAGACTGAAGCCATGGCCATTTGGAGAAGAGAAATATAACCATCCAGTTGCGAAAATAATTCTATCACCTCAAAAGTATTTTAGTCAGTATAAAGAGTATAGGAGGCACATCATTAAACAAAATTGCAGCGATAGTTCAATCAAAAACATTTTTGTGTCAGAAATCTATTAATATTTAACAGGTGTTCATTAAGTGGGGCATTGTGTGAAATGCCTGGGACACACAAGACAGTCTTTATCCTTAAGGAGCCTGTGCACAGTCAAACATCTCTCTAAGTCCTCATCACAAGAAAAAAAATGTGTAGCTATGCATGATGAGGACAGATATCAACTAGACTTACTGCGGTGAGCATTTCACAATGTTTACAGATATTGAATCATGTGGTACACCCGAAACTAATATAATGTTATATGTCAATGATACCGCAGTAGAAAATGAAAACAGATTAAAAACAAAACTTCTTAGAAGGGCAGTACACGATTTAGCATCAAAACAATAATATCACAGGCGTTAGGAAGAGGTAGAGAGACCATTAGTCTAGCAGGAGGAAGGAGAAGAGGAGACCAATAGAACAATGTGGGTTTAATGCGTGGGGCCTAATAGGATGAGCAGGATTTGGGTGTGAGGAAAAGAGACAAAACATCCCAGAGTGGGAAAACAGTCGGAGTGAAACCGGGATACAAAAGAACAACATGTTTGGAAGTCACGTCCAGGGTTCCTTCCTAAGGCAGTTCTAGTCTAGGCTGTCCATATAGTAGACGTGTGACTGCACGTGGCTTCAGCCCACAGCTCAACACAGTCATCTCAGAGCGGGTGCATGTGTGATTTTTAGACGTTTGCGTATATATACATATGAACAAGTTTTATTATATGATTATGCAGATTTTCTTTTTGTTTATTGGGGGAAAATGGCCCATGACATCTACGATTTCACAATATGATTCCTTGGAATGAGGCACAGCTAAAATTTTTGGTTCAAAGCCGATTTAAGGAGAATTTTAAGCAATGTGAGTGGCATATGGGTGTGGCCGAGGGACAGAAACGCTTGAAGTCAGAGGGACATCAGGCTCTGGCTTTCTCAGCTGTGAAGAGGCGGACTCTGTGATGTCCCAGGCCCCTGCCAGACTCTGTTTGAATCTGTGATGCTCAAACCACAGGTGAGATACCTCTCAGCTATTCAAGGGACATTGATTGGGATTCAGGTACTGGCCACAGAAGCTATTCCCAGGTCGCAATGTCTTTAGAATTCTAGGGATTACTTACAAAAATTATGAGTAAACATTTGTACTGTACTTGAAAATGAAATGATTTTTTTTTCAAATATCAAATTACCTATTACTTATACTATCCACTAATTTGAATCTATCAGTTCTGCTGATCCAAATGAACAAATAGTAATGGAGTGGTCAAGGCAGGGGTCAGACCTTCTGAAGAACCATGGACGGGAAGCACAGGTGACAAGCTGAGCCCTTGACAGCGTCAAGAGGAAGAGCAGAAGGGGCCTGCGTGCACACAGAGCGCCAATCTCTGGCGGTGGGGGAGGGGTGCATATTTACACAGCAGGGCTTTGGTCTCAACCCTGTTATTCTCACTTCCCGCAAGTGACTCTGAGCAGGAGCAGTGCAAAATGAAACTGCGGGGCCCCTGATGCAAAAACCAAGAATTTCCAGACAGTGAGAGCCGAGCCAGAAACCAAGCGCTGGGCTGGCGGCACCTCCGGGGAGCACAAGCCCTGTGCCGCTGAGCAAGCATGCCCTGGCCGGGAGAATGGATCTCATCTAAAGCCGGGGGAGGCTGGAGCTAAACCAGCGGTGCTTTAAAGGAGCATGCCGCAGCCAGTCCACATGGTGAGAGACACAAGAAACAACATGCTCATCTGGTGAGTGACACAGGATGCGCCGACAGGAAACGGCTACAGCAAACAGGGGTAAAGTGAGAGGTGAGGTCAGGCTCGCAGCACAGCTGGCGAGAGGGCCGGCAGTGACAGGCAGATCTGGGGGAGAGCGAAGACTTACACGTGGTCCTGTATGAAGTAGGGAGGCGGAGAGAAGGGGTGGGCTGGGCAGCCAGGAGGAAAGGGAAAGCAGGAGTTACTCACTCGTCCTCTAGCAGGGGCCCAAGGACGCAGAAGGTAGTTCTGACGGGTCTAACAGCAGGAGGCGGGCGGTCACCCCACAACTCCTACAGATCCAGGGCCACCTCACTTGGACTTGACCACTGGTTTAACCTTCTCTTTTCAGGGCTAAAAAGCCACTCTTTCGTTCCTACTTCTTCCTCTTATGGGAAGGACAGCACATACTGGTGCCTCGAGGAGGGATGGGGACCGCAGCTCCACATCTCAAAACTGCTGGGCCCCCCAGAGCCCCACCACCAAACCGTGGTCCCAGCCTGTACAGCCGGCCTGGGGACCCCCAATGGGGTCCCCTCCACGCTTTTTTGTGGCTGTCAGGAGAGTGAGACAGCAGGTGTGCACACCCAGAGGCGAAGCAGACACTCCAGCCTGGGCGGGCCTTCCCAGGTGCTTTATAAACCTAATCCGGAAAGAGGGCCCCCGGCTTCATCAGTTAGCAAAGCCAGTGCTCTAAGGAAAGGGCAGACACGCCGCAGCAGGCTGGGCCGGAAGGAGAAAAGTCCTCTTTCAGAAGGACACGAGCAAGGAAGGCAAGCGCCAGTGCCGGGATCTCAAGGAAAAACACCCGCTTCTTTCTCGGGGTGTTGTTGGCCTACAGACAACCCTCAGGCACTCTTCAAACTACCACCATAGAGCTGGAATCGCCAGCTCCTCCCAGCAGCAAGAAGAACCAAGTGGGCGTGAGGACTCACCGCAGGCAGATGACTCTCTTCGGGTCTGGGGACTCGGCCTCGCTGGATGGGGTGGGGGACTGGGCTGTGGGCGACCTGCAGACCTTCTTTTTCTCCTCCACACCATTCTCGGCCTCTGAGCTGCAGAAGAGAGAAAATCGCTTCACCTTAGACATCCAGCGCGGGGGCGGACGGGAAAAAATGGTGAAGTCACCTCGCCTTCTGGAGCGTGGAATGCTCCTCTGTCCCCACCAACAGGCTGAGGTCAACTGGGGTGGCTGTGCCCTTTCCAAACCTCCATTGCAACCCCGCTCGGCGGGCTTCAGCAGGTAAACAGCGGGCTCTGTGAGGACTTGCTGCCTCCCAGGTCTGCGGCCGGGCCCTGCTCTGCCCTGCCTCCCCGTGCAGAGTGCAGATCACCTGGAGGCTGGGAGGGCCCCTGCGCACACACACTCCCAGCCCTCAGCCAGGTGTGCGCCTTCCTGCCGGGAAACCCCGCGGCCCTTTGTTTGCCCGGCTTGTGTCACTTAGTCACCCTCTGTTGTAGTTATCCGGGCCCCACTTTGGGCTGTTGTTATTTAAGCAAGCACCTCTTAGGCAAGTGGCAGTCTCTCACCTGTTGGCACAACCACCCGCCCAGGCTAGGTGGGATTATTTCCCCATGTGACAGATGTGGAATCTGAGGCTCTCAGACAGTAACTACCTTACCCAAGTTTGCAGAACTAGCATTTGTCTGAGTTGGGACTCAAACTCAGGTCTGTCCATCTGATAGGTCTTGGTGTACATGGGTGTTCTCTCTCTGTCTCTGTCTGTCTCCCTCCCATGCAACCACCTATCTATCCATCTAGCCCCCTTATTAGCTCTTCAGTGCAAGAAATCCAGGTGGGCTGGGAATCTGATTTTTATCCTCACCCAGAATCTGGGACACTGGTGGAATATAATCCCGATCAATAGGCTTTTGGAAGACTAGGTTTGACCTTGGTGAAGAGGGAATAGAGAGGAAAGTCAGTCAAGAGGGTCTGCACACTGAACCACTGAGGATGGAGGTGATCAGCGTGCTGGACATGGGGGTGGCCCCTCAACCTCAGGAACAGCGTGGGAAGAGGAGAGGCAGGAACCAGGGGAGGGAGAATACAGGTGTTGCTCATGGGTCAGACCTTCCTGGGTGTCAGCCTGCACAGCAAAGAACTCACAGAACACACTTCTGAGAATGTGAGAACCCCATGGTGGCTGAGCATGTGTGAGGGAAGGCATATTAACATCGCATTGCTATGACAGTTTAGCTCATTTTAATCCGAACTTAGCACCCCTTCGGTATCTTCACCTGCCAATGAACATGCACGCAGGAAGTGTTACTGGTTAGGTTAAGCTTTGTGGTTGCTGATTTACCACATTTTACCGCTCGTGAAAATTCCATTGTGGTGTCAAAATCAAGGCCAAGTATCTCTGCCAAGGGATCCATGAATAATCCCCACAGATGGCTGGTGCTCCCATTTGGTAGTTAGCATTTCTCTTTTCCTAAACAGATACCTATTTGGGGACAAAGGCCCAGCCCTCTACTTCTTCAGTCCTTTTCAAAGCACTTAGAACTCTTATAAAGGGCCTCAGTCCATAACCGAACTGCACCATGTGACAGAAGGGATGTGGAGAGCCTTGAAATAGTAACAGGAAGACACTGCTTTGGTTTCAAAGAGAGGACTTCACTTAAATTTAGCATCAAGTTTAAAAGCATTTTAGAACTGCTAAGGGGCCTTCAAGCCTATCTCTGCCTTTCCCCTCTCCCCCCAAGGCACACACAGCACCCTTCCTTCAGTACAGCGGTTCTCAACCTGTGGGTCACGACCCCTTTGGGGGTCGAATGACCCTTTCACAGGGGTTGCCTAAGACCACATATATAATTACATACTGTTTTTGTGATTACTCACTCTGCTTTAATTATGTTCAATTTGTAACAATGAAAATACATCCTGCATATCAGATATTTACATTACGATTCGTAACAGTAGCAAAATTATGAAGTAGCAACGAAAATAATTTTATGGTTGGGGGTCACCACAACATGAGGAACTGTATTAAAGGGTCGCGGCATTAGGAAAGTTGAGAACCCCTGCTTCAGCGGCATCAGGCAGAAACCCACTCGAGAGTCCCTCCTGAAGTAGGGCGAGTGTGCGTGGAACTTCAACAATCCATCTCAGCTGTTATTCAAATATTTACTGCATTTCAGGCCGGGCCAGATTAAGACGCAGAGGTAGAGCCGCCGTTGTCCTGGGCAGTACCTGTGTGCCCTTAGCAAGAGCCACCTCACCCCCACAATAAAGAGGGGCCTCTCTGTTTGGATGGAGCCCCCCTGGTACACAGCCTGGCAGAGATAAGGTGCCCCTTGCTTAGCCCAGCACCAAGGTGCTAGGAAGCAAAGCTGGCCGCGTTCCTGCCTCTCCTGGCCCCAGCTGGGTAGGCACTTGTGTGCAGGGCAGGGCGCTGAGTGCTTCGCCCTGTGGTGGTCCTGGTTCAGGGCCCGGCTCAGCACTGAGAAGGTGCGGTGCACACCTGTCAGCCCACCAAGCCGTGCCTCTTAAGGACAGAACACACAGGTCTGCTCAAGTTAACTGGCTTCTTTCTAGGTAGTGTCCACCCCACTTTTCCTGACACTTGCACTTGGCCCCCAGTGCTGGGTCTGTCCTTGAAGGCCCTGGGGTGGTGCGCACTGGCTCCACAGAGCCGTCTATCCCAGTGGTCTCGGCTCCGCTGCTGCCGGCTTGATCACTCACCAGGCCCCGAATTAACCAGTGCCTTTTTCTGTTAACTTCTTCCTCTCAAACGGCTTAGCCAACTACTAGGCTAAATAAACTCCTTAAAAGCAGGGAACTTATGTCTTCCTCCTCCCCCTCCGTCCCCCTCCACTGCACTTAGCTCAGCATTTTGTTCATGGTGGTCATTTATGTGTGTTGACCGACGTGGGATTCATTCTGTAGTGTCTCAAAGAGTCAGTGAAGTTCATCTAGGGACCAATTCAATTTTAGTTTTTTTTCTTTTGTTTTACTTAAAGATGCTACGGAAACTGAAGCAAGCTAATTCCTACCAACAGGAGAGATTATTCCGCAAACCCCCGACCCTCAGAGGCCTGTCAGCAGCAGATGAAACTATGCAGAAGTCAAACAGTGGAGACGCCTGTCTGAGGAGCAGAGTGTGGGAGGGGGCGGAATGCTGCCTGGCCTCTCAGTAACTAAGTTACTGTCAGGGAAGCGGGCGGTGGAGATGAAATAACACGTCTCATTTAAATCATGAAAATAAAGGCATCAGTTTTGCTTTAAAAAAAACATACACACACAAAGCAAGGCCCTTTCAGGGACACTAACTAAAGAGTTAACACAGCTAATCTTAAAAAAAAAAAGACAGTCCTCTTTCAACAATGTTTTTGGACAAGTCCCTGCTGACAGGGCAGGATGCTCGGAGAGGGGCAAGCGGGAGAGAGGAGTGAGTGACAGCTACAAGGGGCCGCAGAGCAGCCGACGATGCTGGAGCACAGGGCCCATCTTCCCCTGGGCCACGGCGGGTTCTTTCCTCTCCCACCTCCAAGCATCCATATGGGCCCTGAAAGCTTTTCAGTAGGAATTTCAGAGCCGTGAGACAGTCATGCTCACAACAACCGAGACTGAGGCCCCTATCAGGGGACCGCGTTTGTGTTCCCCGCTGGGAAGTGCTTGCTCCACTGAGACACTGGCCCCCACTGTCACACAACCTGTAAATGCACAACAGGTCAGACAGCGCCTATCAGCCCAACGTCTGTCCATTCCCAGGCCTCACAGACCGGATGAGAACGTGATTTGGATTTCATGAAGATTCAAAATTAGAATTCTTGTATGGATCCACCACTCTCATTCCTCCCAGAGATCGACTCTGTTCTCCAGACACATC